CTAGTTTCTTCCTGAACACATCATCACCTCACCAGGTCACTGGTCTCACTTTCAGCCTACAATTACCATTAGGAAGTTTTTCTTAACATTCACTCACACCAAGCTATCAGTTATTGGCTGGTTTAGCCCACTGCTGGCTTCTCAAATTGAGATGAACCATCCAAAGGCCGTGATGTTTCTTGGAGCTACCCTCTGAAAACTTGCTGAGAAGGAGGGACTGGCCCAGAATCCCCTAGGAAGCTTCGGTGGCCATGGGAAGACTAGAACCTGGGTCTCCCTGCTCCTAGTCCAGTATCTTTCCAATGACCCTGCCTCTTGTGCTGAGAGGAAGGGACTAGCCCAAAGTCCCCCAGGAAGCCTGTGTGGCCGAGAGGGGATTTGAACCCGGGTCTCCTGCTTCTAATCCAGCACCTTCACCACTGCATCACCCTGGTTCTCTAATGCAACATTCAAAGCATGAGGTCTCTAAGAATCTACTGAGCTTGGCCTGTGACTCCGTTAATTTGCATCTGCAGCACTCCAACTGCAAACATGATAAGGATCCTATTAGCGATGCCCAGCCCCTAGCCCAAACCCCAGGCGTTTTAGGTTTACTGTAAAAACCATAGAGATGTTAGTGGCACACCTGTCACAATAATCTCGTTGATATGGCAGTTGTCACAAACAATAACGTAAGTCACTGACAGGACTTCAGAAGAAATGGGCATGAACACCACCTGCAAGTGAACATTTCCGCATCGTCAAAACACCAACAACCGTTAAGAAAAATTTAAAGTGGTAACAAACTAAAACTGGTAAATGTCATCATGAATTTCCCTCAGGATGCAGAGAACCGAAGTGTGGCAATTCTCTGAGAATCCCAGTTAGTGATCTGTAGCTCTCACTGCATTCGGCTGCAACACAGTCCTTAGGAAACCACCATTTCTCCTTTCAAATCTTACTCCCAGAACAGACATTTCCAGATTATCAGTCTAATGCTTTAGGGTTGGCTATCAAGAAGATTAACTTCGTATGCAGGTAGTCTTTGGTTAACGACAATAACTGGGACCAGCAATTCGGTTGCTAAGCGACATGGTCGTAAAACACGCTCTCATGTGATCACACTGACTTACAATGGCAGTTCCGACACTTCTGGTTGTGGTTGTTAAGTGATCCTGCATGATCATTAAACGTGACATCATGTGATCGCCATTTGCAACCTCCTGCTGGCTTACCCAATGACTTTGCTTGTCAGAAGCTAGCAATGAAGGTTGCAAATGGCAATCATGTGACTGCAGGACACTGTGATTGTCATAATTGAGAGCTGGTTGCCAAGCACCCAAATCATGATCATATGACTGTAGGGATGTTGTGATGGCCACAACTTTGAGGACTCATTGTTAAGTCTCCTCATTCAATGTTGTCGTAACTTCAATGGTCGCTGAATGAATGGTCGTTAACTGAGGACTACCTCTATTTCCTCCTCTTCCTCCTCCTTACCCCATTGAGCCCAAAAGCTTTAAGCCATTTTCTTCCTGTTAGTAAGCTTCTAACATCATAGAAAAGTCAGAGATAAGTGTAGCAAAACAACTTCTAGTATGGAAAAGAAGAAAGGGGCATTTTTCTTTTTTCTTCCTTTATTTATTTTTTTATTCATCAGATCTGCATATCACCTTTAAATCAAAGTACGATACTTAAAAGAGCTGAGAAGATCATGCTGTGAATCTTTTCTTATCTTTCAGTTGTGAAAACCAATTGTGAAAAAAGCACACTCCCTATAACCACACAGTACAGTTCTACATCAATCTGCCCAGGACTTCACAAGCAGCCAAACTTAATATAAATGCCCCAGTCAAATGAATGGGCTGTCGGCTGGATCCTGCTTTAGAATAACCAAAATGAAAATGAAATGAAAATGGCATTATCTAGTTTGCAAGTAGGCTGGAAGCATGAGTTATACCGTCAGCAACTGACCTCAACTGGGAGAGACTGACCCGGAGCAAGCTCAAAGATGGCCGGCCGAATCCCAAATGGTTCTTGCTCCACGAAGCCCAGAGTGGCAACAGACTTCAAATAGAGAGAACAGAATGAATCCCTTTAAGGGCTGATTCGTATTCCCAGCTCGCCCCAGGAGAGAAGTACAGGCCCCTGCCTATTTTTCAAAAGGAGGAACTCATCCTATATTCAACCCACAAGGAAGGCAACCTCCGCCCGTCTTTTTCTGCTCCTCCTCAAAAATCGGGTTTTCGCACTTGTGCCAGTTCGGGCAGGGCTATGATTTATTTTATGGCAGGTGAACCCCTCCTCTCCGATTTGCTACTGTGCATTTACATACCATACGCCCTCCCTTCTGGTCACTAGTTGCTGCCTTTCATGGCCATCATGTTTTAATAAGTTCACAGAGGAGCAGAGAAAAGATGGATCTGCCTTGCCCATTTTTTTTTTAACCAGGTGAATTTGGCAAGAGTTCTGAACTTTCCCTGTCTAGCCCATGTGGTAAAACTCAGGTGTGGTGTGGTGTTTTCTTTCTTTTTTTACTGGAACAGGAGGGCTAAAGAAGCAGGGGGATCCACCAACCAGGGGCAGAACACCTAGCTATCACTGTGTCCAAAGCAGAGGAGGAAGGGGTCGATATTCAGAAAGAGATTTCTTAAACCAGCTTCATTTCCATCCCGTTTACACATAGGAGACAAGAAGCTTAGCGCTGCAGTGCAGAAAAACCCTAAGACTCTACAAAACCCGTAACATGATTGCATATTCCAGACAGAGGGGTGGGGGGTAACCTGCATGTGAAGAAAGGAAAGCTCCCCCTTTTGGCATATTTTTTTGTTCTGGGGAACTTTAAGAGAGGAAAAAAAAACCCAATATCCAAAAAAACCAGAGGAATATTTCCCTCTGAAGAGGCTTTAAGGAATAAAAGCAGGTGCTTTGTGTCTTTGCTAACCCTTCCAAAAACCAAACTAAAATACCTAACCCAATGTTTCTCAACCTCGGCAACTTTTAAACACTGTTGATTTTTTACTCCCCAAATTTTCCCTCTTCCCCTCTCATTCTTAGAATGGCTGGGTGTT